CAGTATTGCAAAGGAGAAAGAAATGTACATGAAAAATCATTTTCAAGAGCTAAAAAATGCTTCCTAATAGGTATCAATTATAAAGAAAAGATGCATGACAAAGATAGTATATGCCTTCATTAATAGGGAAAAATTGTATTTTTCCCTTTTGGTTTAAGTTCCATCCTTCCATAATTGTTCCCACTGAAAGTTTTCAATTAAGGATCATCATCATTGTCACATTAGCCCAGGCTGGTCTCAAACTCACAATGATCCTCCTGAATCAGCCTTCCAAGTGCTGGGATTGTAGACATGCTCCACCAAGGGATATAATAAATTAAAGATTGTTATGAGAAAGAATATTGTTATTTAAACCAAGATTGGTGGGATCACTGTGGTAAGTCATTTGTGCCATGCGCTTCTGCAGTTATTAGGAGAGGCTGTTACCTTATGAATTCAAAGGGAAAAATGCTTTTGGCATCAGCTCACGATAGCAATGTTGGGAAAGAGGCAAATGAGATAGAACAGACTGCAGAGAAAGCGCAATATGTCATGGCCCATAAAATGGCAAGGGACACAGGTGCAGGTTTTGAAAATATATTTTTCAGTTCTTTACCTTACATGGTAAGAAATGCAAATATTTCAGAAAATAACATCGAGTGTTTATAGCTCTTCATCTGACAGACTGAAATTTGAAGGAAAAAAAAAAAGAAAGAATTATTGGGTTAGAACAGTGTGCATGAACAAGATGTCATCTCCAAAGAACATCTCTGTTTAATCAGTTAGACCCTGTGGAGATGGAGCTTAAGTACTTGGGGTCTTCTCGTGCAACTATTTCAGTTAATAGCATATTTGAGTGGACTAGTTCCTCTCAATGAAAATTAATTTCTCTTTTCTTGAACTTGCTTTAAACAGAGACTGTTCTTGTGACAGTTCCATGTTATGCTTCATGCTGCAGAAATTTAATGTTGACTTATCTCTACTATGAATTACAAACTGTTTAAGTACAGAAGGCCAAGACTACATTTATAGCCCTTATAAACCTACTTTTAATATCTTAGAGATAATGAATACAGATTATTAATGAAATTAAATTTTTTAAAATTCTGTGGAAATAATGCAGGAATTTGATAAAACCTCCCCCAGTGTCATGTCAGAAGTGAGAAATTCATCACAGGCTATTTGCTGTCAGGACTATGCTGAGGACACTAGTCTTCATCACCAGTGGCCACTGATATTCATCAGTGTACTGTGACATCTGAGACCTTTCACTGCGGGATTCAGAGACTGCTAACACTGGCGAGAGATATCACACTGGATATGTTTCTTCCTCTCCATGGGGCTTGAATGGTTGACACATAGCACCCAGATTCACTTTGCCCTCTGCTTTACCTAATATGAAATTTTCTGCACATATGGAGTCCACTGGAAAGTTCATCAGTGGCACAGTTCAGCTGTCTACCCAAGCAGGACCTCAAGAACCAGAGCTGGTCGGGAACTTTTGAGGCACATCTATCACCTAACCAGATAGGATTCAAATTTCCCTGGCCAACATGTCAATTGTGATTCTTTCCAAAAGTGACTGTAGTGTTTGATGATAAATATTTTCCAGGACAGAAACTGTATGTTGTAGTTGATAAAAAGGATCTGGACATTTCTAAAAGCTAAAATACTTTGGCTTACTAGGTAACATTTTATGGCATTGTTACAAGCTATAATCATGCTGTTTTAATGCTTCTCTTTTTAAAAATTAATTCATAGTGCTTTGTAATAATATAATGCTACTATATGTGTAAATAGAGCTCCTCAGTTCAGAAAGCAGTAACAATAATGCTAGAATAATGCTAGAACACTTTTCTAATAGTAGAGTAGTATGTTCGCAGTTGGGGACATCCCTAGAGAATTGTAGAGAAGAGAGATTGGAAGAAGCCAAGGGACTGAAACAGAAAAGCAAAAATTAAAGCAGACTACTAGAGGAAGCTTTGAGTCCACCACTGTCTCTATTACTTCAGGATTAGACTGAGGCAGTTAACGGCAAACCTTGATAACTAGCCCAAAGGGTCAGAAAGGGGACAGAGTGGTGATTGTTGAGTAGTCAGTGCAGAGAAAATATGACCCAATTTTTCCATCCTTTCTCTCTCACATGGACACTCCAAAATCCCATAACTGCTACAATTTCATTATACCTCACGTGTATAAAATTGTTTGTTATTTTACTAACATTTTATCACCTGAACGAGCAGCAACATTCAAAATGGTAAGCATCAGCTGGCAAGACTGCTAAGATGCACACTCCCAGATCCTGAACACCTAACTCTCAGAGCAGTAAGTTTGTGGTTGGATCTTGAATCTATACTTCTAATAGCAGAATCCCCTGATAATTGTAACAGTGGTGGTCCTAGCATCACATTTTAAGAAGAAAAAAGCATATTTTGATAAAGAGCATTGTGTACAATAAATACTCCACGAATAATATTTTTACCTTTATTTTGTTACCTCATGGTCTGGTTGGGGTTCATGCTCAAAAAAATAGTAAGTTATCATAAGATGGTCTCCATCTTTTAGGATATTTATGGGAAATTTTTCATGTGAAAACAAGTATTTTTAATAGTTAAAAAATAGTCTCACATGTTCTAGTTTCATTGCTTCTTTTAACTTGATCTCATTTGCTTATTATATTTAATTTGTCTTGTATAGTGTGACTAATATACCGACACTGACTTTTTTGAAATGAATACCTGTCTCAGTCTCATTTTTGATATTTTTCATATTTGATTCCCAGTATTGGAACTGTACCCTTTATAATATAATCTACACAAAGCACTTAGGTACCTTTGTAAAAATGGTTATTTTTTTCTTTTCTACTTAATTTCTAATATCAAAAGCATTTAATGCTGTTTTATCATTAGGCTTTATAACGTATCTTTATTTTGTGTTCTACATCTGCGCTTTTTTTGTTGTTGTTTGTTTCTTTGTTTGTTTTTGTACTGGGAATCAAATTCATGACCTTGCGCTTACACTGCTGAGCTAAATCTCTGGCCCTCTGCAAATTATTTTTAATTTTAAAAATTTCTTTGCTATTTTTCCTCTGAATTTCATTTCATTTTGTTTGTTTTGTTTTGCACCTGAGGAGGTTGAACTTGCAACTTCACGTCTGCAAAGCAGGCATGGTGGCACTGAGATGCATCCTCAGCCCTTCTTTACTATTCTTATCCATTTCTTTCTAATTAAATTTTAAAACCCTAAGTAAGCTTTGAAACGTCCTTTAACTCTTACATACCTAGTTTTGCACTGTCAAATAATCTGTGGGAAATGATTGTTCTTTTCTACTTGTACATCCACCCCTTTAGGAATATGTAATGTTCTATCCAAGAAGAAGTACAAGTCTTATGTCAAGTGCTGAAGTGTTCATTAGATATCCTCTATTTAATAAATAATTATATTTAGTGTAAAGAGCTATTTTTCTTGGGGAGTTTAGCTCAGTGGATTAACAGCCTGCTTGGCAAACGCAAGGTCGTGATTTTGATCCCCGGCACATACACACACACACACACACACACACACACAAAAGAACTATTTTTCTCAATAATTATCTTTTACAGATACATTAAGAAAACAACAAATAACTTGCATTATCCATTTATAAGCACTCCAATGTGGAAATCTCTAGATTTGTAAAATACTCACTCGGTTGATTTTTGTGCACTTCTTAAATGTGTCACCAAATAATGACAGATACTTTTGACTCTACCTGGTAATGATTTTTCCTATTAAGTTAAAATCAAAGTTTTGTTTTCTGTTACATCACGTAGGTTAACATTACCATGGTGGTGTTAAGGTTGGAGATATAACAGGCATCATTTTCTTTATTTAATAACGCCATTAGAGTTTCAGCTTTTCATAGTTCTTCAACTTGTTTGGAAGAATTCTGTTCACTAAAGAAAAATCTGTTTCTTTCCTCATTTATCAAAAGATAAGTTAGCTGCTTTTAATTTTTTCAGATGTCTTTCTGATGTGTGTTGTGAGATGATTTAAAATTTTTATAAAGTCTCCTCTGTAATGTATATTATTCCAGTAGCCATTCTGGTACTAAGCCAATGTTACTTTTCCTTAATAATGTTGCCGAATTATTTTTTTTAAAAAACTAACTTTTGGGTTTAATCAGTCATTCTAGTTTTGTTACAAATTCACTGGATTCTATTTTTGTATTTAACAATCATGTTCCTAGGTAAAGTTTAGTAAGTTGTTTGAGGTAATTGATTTTATGGTAAATGTCTGAGTTAGGGAATACATGGTTATTGAAGAAAAACTAATCACTGAAGATATTCTAGGTGGCCTAGAATAGCTATGTTTCCCAAATGATGGCAAAGAAGGTTGTAGAATTATTTTCCTGTGCTGCAATGCCTGCCCTAGGGGTTTGTGTTAAATCTAGCTGTCAAACAGACATTGGCCACATTTGGCAACAGGTTAATTTAGGAGGACATAGAACAGAAGATGCCTTTGTCAACAGGGCAGTATTATTCATTTCTTTTCATTGTGAATTAAAAACACTTATTTAAAATATAGGTCATATTCAAGGGGATAATCTCATATTCAGATGTGCGGAAATCTGCCCAGTTTTAAATCCTAGTGACTCAATGAGGTCACTTTCTAACAACTCCTAAGGGATAGTTTTCAGGTTCCCCGAAAGAAAAGGAAGGTCCAGTTTCAAGCGTCACTGAAATAAGAAGCTCAAAGACATCTATTTTTATGCATTTGTTGTTCTAATACAAATGACACTTACCAGTGGGAGATACATTAGTATATGAAGTGCTGCCTAGAGCCCTACTTATTTATCACCTTTATCAAATTTCCAGGAGAACAGAACTTTAAAATTAACCAAAACTGCAAGTGCTCATTCAGAATACAAATTAACTTAGATATGTCTATTGTATTATGTTTGTTTGCATAAATATTTCTTGTCCACGTAATTTATATTTGCAACCTTAAATCTTAGTTTGCTCTTGCTTCCATTTTTCCAGGTAAAATTTGGAAACTATGCTTTCGTATGGGATGCAGCTGTGTTGGAGTACGTGGCGATCAATGACCCAGACTGTTCCTTTTACACTGTGGGGAACACAGTTGCCGATCGGGGATACGGAATCGCCCTGCAGCACGGCAGCCCCTATCGAGATGTTTTCTCACAAAGGTAAGGTTTGCGCAGGGGCCAGAAACAGAGAGAGGAAGTTTGGACCAAAACACTACTTGATTACCTAATCTTGTCTGTTTCTTTGTGAGAAGAGATACATAAAGAAAAACAAAAACAAAATGTTAACTATAAGCGGTAACACTATTTCCTAAACTACATACTCAAGTATTCTTTTCCATAAACATAGCAAATATTGCTGTACATAATGTCTTGTTTTCAAAAACTGTATATGACACACAAATTAAGCATATTATTAATTTCTGTTAGAACTTAATTAAGCAGTCTAGTCTCTGACCTTTTAAGAACTAATAAACATTAGAAACACTAATCTATTTCCCAGAATGGTGAAACATAAAATTAACTTTAAAACCAAGTTAAAGCTCTAATATCCTATAGCATATTATGTTAGGATATTTTTCATCAAGCATTTTTAAAACAAAAGAGTAAGAATTTAAAGTCTCCCACTTTATATCAAAGCATATGTAAGCCCTTGTCATGGAAATCAAGCAGAGCACATATTAAGAAATTATCACTATCTCAAAGAAATTTTCTTTCATAAGGAAATTGTTTAAGAAAGAAGGTATAAAATATATATTTTAGATTAATAATATATATGAAAGACTGGCCTGAAAAGAATTCCAAGGATCACTGTGAATACATTCTCACTTCTATCAAACACATTTGGACTTCACAGAAATTAGCATCGTACAGGTAGAAGTATACTGCATGTAATCCTGGTGATACTCTTTGTTTTTAGTCAGTTATAGATAATGAATACCAATGCTTCAAATTTCAAATTATTCAAGCTGTACTTGTTCAAATTTTAGGAATATAAGAGGCCAAGATTTTCATATTTTTAAAAAGAGAGATCTTGAAATCAGTAGTTTACAATTTATGACATAACTTGGCCATTAGCTAACTATAAAATGCTTGACCTGTCTCCTTATCTGCAAAACAAGGAAGCTAGACTGATTTTATGGTATTATGGCAGCCTTTCTGTGCAGCCAAACTTTCCAAATCATCAGTCACAGAAGTGATTTTTCACTTAGGTGAAGATGGCGAGGAGCCTGTACCCTGCTGCAAACTGCAGGTCAAACACAGATCCACTCTGCACAGCATTCATCCCACACCAGGCCCTCCAGCCCTGGCTGGGTCAGGTTGTTCTCACTGCCAAGAGCAGCTGGGAAGGAGGCCGGCAGAAACGGGCAGTTCCTGCAGTGCTCAGATGCGGCACACATCCAACACACTCACAGACAGCTTCCCACAGTGAATCTAAACCAGGTCCCAAATCCACAGGGTGGGTACAGCTGCTCCACCCCATTGCGGAGGGAGCAATAGGCAAGAACAATAAAACAATAAAACAAACCCAGTCGAACCTTTTGATCCTAAATGTAAGACAAACGCAAAATATGCATAAACTGAAAACAGGAAAGGTATAAATGATTAACTAACCAAGACACATTTATTGATGAGCAGACAAAAAGGACAAACTGGAAAATCAGTTATGTCATAGGGAAACTGCCAGCCAGGCAATTACAGTATAGTTAGGTAGAGATAGCAAAACTCATTCTCATGCATGCATAAGCCCATGAATTCATCTCCAACAATACACACAAAAAAGAAAAAGACCCTATTCATATTAAATAATGAACAATACAGATATTTCTGCAAATGTATTTATGCTCACATCTAGCTATAGTAGAATGTGTTGCATATTTCTGTTGTCTTAAATTGTATACCTACAAGTTATTGGAAGAATTGAATCACATGCAGACTAGAGTTAAGCAAAGGAAACATAAGTAAAAGCTCTCCAGAGAAGTGAGCCTTAACTTGATCTAAAAGGATTAATAGATAATCATTAGCTGAAAGGAAAAAAAAATAGTTAATTCCTGAACTACTAAAAACCACAGAAGTTAAAAAGACAGCAGAATATGTTAAGGAATAATAAAGACATTAAGCTAATGTGAAAAGAAATTTGAAGGCTAGAATTTCTTCTAGGTTGGTCATGAACAGGTACAAAAATCTACTATCAGTTGTGGAACCTGGAGTGAAATCATGATGGTAGAAGTTAAGGAAAGGTTGGTTTAGTTTTTATAAAAGGGATGGAACTGAACTGTCAGAGGCTACTGCAAACCCAGAGGCATGAGATAATGAAAGTCTGGCGTAGAATCAGGCAGGCAAATGAGAAGGAAGTGGCTTTCCTGAGGGCGGAGGGATGTGTGGTGGAATGGTGCGCTTCAGAAAAGGGGATGTGGGGTTCCCTGGCAAGAGACCAGCAGCAAAGAGTGCCCAGGTTATGAGAAAAGGGTTATTGGTATTCATTATGGTTTAACTGTTTTTCTCACCCCTAAAAATCTTGGTTTTCAGACCTGATTTCTGAGGGCCTTATACCAAAAATGCATGATAATTAGTAAATCACACCAAATGTTCCTTTTTATCATCCTGTGATATTCTTTTATCATCTGTGACGCAGAGTCTGATTCTGAAGGAACGTATTCCACTGAAGTACTGAACAGCAGTATTAAGCTTTAAATAACACTTCCCTTTGTTTGATAAAGCATGACAGACATTAGCAGTTTCAACTGGCCCTTCTGTAATGTTCCTTACTAATGACACCCTGCACCCTGGTCCCTGGACATCTGGAAGAAAAGAGAGCCAAGAAAGGAGCATGGTCTGGCAGCTCCCAGTGTGCTGGCTCCTCGCTGGCCATGTATGTGCTGTGGTCATTCACCGCCCTGAATCTCTGCCTCAGTTCAGAAAACATCAGCATTCATTCTATTTGCCAAGACATTGGGAAACAAATCTTTGCTTTTTTATTAAGTAATTTTAAAAAGGATAAAAAGATTATCATATCTGACACTTTGTAAATTATTATATCCATCCAGATTTATCAGTTTTTCCTAGGCCACTGATTAAACCAGACCACCGATTGCGTTGTGCTTATTTTCAGTGAAAATAACAAAATTCTGGGTGTCTTTTGAAGTTAATGTTGTTTTTCAGGTGACTTTATGCCTATCTCAAAGTAATAAAATGTAATAACATTATATTAAAAATAATATATGTTGATATAGTAACTATATTTTATTATCTACTACTTAGAAATATTTACATGCCTATTACTAAATAACCACAAGAGATCTGCATATTTACTAACTGCACACTTAAGTATAAGCTCACAACTGTTACACTACAAGTGCACATTGCAGGTGAGGCACCTGCACACCAGCAAGCAGCAAGTTCAGCTTGGAAGACACGTGCTATAGGGCCACATTCACTGGTGCAAGTGTGAGTAGACATGCACCAGAAGGACTTGTAAAGAACCTGCAGTATATGACCATGAATTGACTAGGAGAGTTTTGTGACCTGAAGAGGAATGAGAAGAAGGAACTGGAGGAGCTAGGTGGAGCTCAGCAAAAGATCAGAGGGGTGCGTGCGATCTAAGAACCTGAAACGGACAGGCTAAGCAGATTCAAGTGACCACAAACTCACCCTTGATTCTCCCTTTCCTTCCAGCTCTGGTTGATTCTTTGCAACTCTAGTTCACCTTTAGGTGCAAACTTACTGAAAAGCGATTTCTAGAAAAGTGTTGATTATTTTTTAAATTATGCTAATTTGTTATAAAAATACTCATTTCCAGGAACCTTTCCATCTACAATACAGATTTTTGTTCTGTCATTCAAATCACCTTCACATATCCCCAGTCATACTATTCTCTCTACTTTTTTAACTTTATTTTTTATAAGTATATTTTCATAGTAGCTAGTGATTACATTTATCCTGGAGAGTTTGTATAAGTACATAACACGTTTTTATTCTTTTAGCATCTCTCCTTCCCTGCTTCTGTCTAGACTCATCCCCTCCCCACTTGAAAAAGCTCTATTTTTCTTTTCTCTTACTGCACATAAAATGTTATATTTTTTAAAAGATGTATGTTTTTTATCTTTAAGACCAGTTAGTTTTATTTTATCTACTTTTTCTGTCCTAGATCAAGAAAAACAATAGCGAAGATGGTTAAGTTGACATAATGGGAAATTTACGAGAAATACCAAAGCAAAAGCAAGAGAGCACATTAGATGTTCACTTTCAAACTGAAATAAGAGTAGAATGAAATATCAACATACATTTACCATAGATTTGTATATATAGTTTATATTTAAAATAACATCCTGTAAAGTGTGAAATAAAAGTGTTCTTTGTCCGTATAATGTACATCCATTTAGTGAACACCAGCTTCTGGAATCAAGCCATTGAAAGGAATGTACTCTTCCCATTCCGGAACGACCCCTCTTCTGGCATCTCTTTTAGTTTAGAATTTCAAATGTAGAAAACTTCAGTATAAAGAAAAAGTGAGAAACTATATTCATCAATCTTTTCTGATTTTTTTATCCTCATTATTCTTTGTGGGGCTCTTTTAATGACTGCTTTTGTGTAGTGTTTTTGTATTGTATTGCTTTGTTTTATCTGTTTGAGACAGAGTCTCGCTATATACAGTTCAGGTTGATTTTGAGCTCACTTAGCCCAGGCTGATCTCAAACTTGCAGTGATCCTCTTGCCTCGGCCTCCCTAGTGCTGGAATTAAAGGTATGCACCACCACGCCCAGCTATTCTGTGGGTTTTAGCAATCACCCTGACTGTTGTTTCTAACAGAGAACCTAAATAATTTACATTTTCTTAATGCAAAATCTAAATAGATGGAAAAGTAAGTATAGTTGATGATTTCTCCTATGTGAATATTTCAAAATACCCATCATTTAGCACAACACAATTTGAGATTAGCTCTATTAATTTTGAAAGACAGCCAAATTTAAAAAAAAAATTTACATCTTTCTCTTAAAACATACAACATTCACACTGCTGCACAGATCATGCCATCGGAGAGTACACAGCCATAGAACTGCTTTCAAATTCTGTTCTCTTTGTGCTAATAACATACAGCATTCAGGTAACTTTATCCACAATGTGAGAAAGAGAATCTTTTAAAAATAAGCGTCTTCATTAAA